TACTAGTCCCACTGACATAGATTGGGTGGTAAGGGAGAGAGAAAGAGTGTATTCATATAACTTTTATTACAGTATTTAATTTTGTTCTATTTTACTATTAGTTACTGTTGATAATCTCTTATGTTTAACTTATAAATTAAACTTTATTATGACTATGTTTGTGTAGAAATGTAGTAGTAGTTCATAAGGTTGGTATTGCCCAGAGTTTGCAGCAACACTGGTTTCTTAGAACATCTCTCATGAAGAAAGAGTTGTACTCTATAGATAAGTATGATTTATTGTAACAGCATAATAACTAGAATTTATAATAGTATACTGAAGACTCTAGCTTCAGTAGACTATAAGTCTATAAAGACAATAAATTTACCATCTTTTGTCAATACCATTTAACCCAAAAAAGCTGTCTAAAAACATGTTGAAAAGGCTCAAAAATTACAGTCTAAATAGCTTATATTTTTTAAATAAATCTATTATTTATTTGTAAATTTGTCATCTAAAGCAAAATTTCTTTACCTATGAATTTACTTAAACAACTGACAATTTAAAAAAACAAATATTGGAGACAGTGAGAGTGTCAAAACCAAGAACTCGGGAATCCAAAGGAAGGACCTGAGTATGATTATCACCTTGGTTACTCTCAACTAATTTCTTTTTTTTTTTTTTTAAGATTTATTTATTTATGCATACAAGAACTGGAGTACAGGTCAAGGTGCAAGGGAAGTGAGAGGATTCACCAGAGACAGAGTGAGGAGCAGAACAGGCAGATCAAGGAAGTACACTGCTGAGGGGAGCAACGGGACAGTCAGGAGAGTCTGCCATGTGTGTCACCTCCCGGGCCAGGGATCAAACTCACACTGAAGTATCTGCGGCCAGCTTGCAGTTGTGGCATTTTAACCCGTTGTGCCACTAGGGAGGGTCTTACTCTCAATTAATTTCTAATACTCAGTTCCCTCCCAGGTAAGCACTTCATAAGTTTTATGAGGTATTTTCCAAGGTTTTTTTTTTTTTTTTTATGAGGATCTAGCTCAGTGACCTCTACATCACTTATGGTGAAGTGGTGTCCATTTTTTCTTATATCTACACACACCAAACTTTGGAGAAAAGATACTGTTAAGTATAGAAAATAAAGCAGACAAAGGAGGGATTATACTGCAGTCCTCATCATTCTGAAACCTCACTCTTTAAAACAACTAAATTCAGATGGCTTCTATTTTGAGGATGCATTTAGTTTACACTTCTCTCCCTGATTTCCAATGCTAAAAGCCCAACACACCAGCCCCCATAGGAAAAGCACATGCACAGGAATGGAATTCTGGGCCCAGGAGTGAATGTGAAGCATCATCGTGCCTCTCTTCACATGGATTTCATCTTCTCCTTCAGACTTTACAGGTTAGAAACACCTAAACTAGTTTCAACAAAATCTGTAAGTGTTTGTATTTCCTGGCCCATCAATAAAGTATGATGATTTTTTTTGTTTGTTTGTTTGTTTTCTGTGATGTACCATTGTGTCAAGAGTAACCACAATAGCCCTAAGAAATCATTGGGACAATAGTTATTATTTTCTGTTTTTTCATATAGGATTTATAACTCTTATAAAAACATTATGATCTCAGGTACACTGGAAAGTTTCTTCAGAAATATGATGGAAGAGAAAAACTGTCTTTTGTTTGATGTTTGTGTTTGTTTGCTTCCTGCACAGGTAAAAAAAAATGCCAGCAGACACAAAGTCGTAATCCATTTCAAAGAAAAATGAAAGGCATTCATATTTTCAAAAAATTCAGAAAATTCTTCCTAGGGAAAGAAATGGTGCAAGAGTTTTCTCGGAGAGACTTCAAGAACTCAGCACGTTTTAAAAACTTCCCTTTATTTGTTTCATTTTCTGAGAGACAGGTCTGAAATAACTGGCAATTTCCGCCTCTTCTGTACTTGGTAACATGTGGCTTTTACCAGTCTCTGTCAGTCATAAACATGCTTTAATGGATTGACATGTGCTTAATAATACAAACAGCGCCTGGATGCTCTAGAGCAAAGTGCCGCCAGGGCCTGTACTGTATTGGTTGGAGCTGGAAGGGATCCTGCTTAGTGAAATAAGCCAGAAAGAAAAAAAAAAATTCTGGATGGTTTCACTCATAGCAAGATTGTGAGGGATCGGGTGTATGTGTGTGTGTGTGGGGGGGGAGGCATTTTTATTAAGTTAAAATTGACCACTATAAATCAGAGACATTTTACAGGGGTGGAGAATCAAAACTGGGGCAGGAAGAACATACGGGACTGTGATGATGGCATATGGGTGAAGTGGTGGTGGAAAGTCCACAAGGAGTACAGCCAAGATGAAGAAAATGAAGAATCTGCTGTGCCATGTGGATCACCTCCGGAGCCGGGGATTGAACTCAAACTGAAGAGGCTGCAATTAACTTGCAGTGCTATACTCTAAGCTATTGTGCCACCAGAGAGGGCCCGCCAGCTTGCATTTTTTCTTTTTCATCTAAGGAGGATTGAGGTTTAGCTTTTACAACTCTGGACATGAAAACTATTCATGTTTCTAAGTAACTACTGGAACTCATATACATTTTGTAAAAGTCCTACAATGGCATAAATGGCATTCAGCTTTTCACACTTGTTTAGTGAGTCTCCTTCTACCTATAAGTCTGGAGTTAGTGTGGGGGTTGTTAGTAAAGGTTCTTTCTCATATGTACTAAGCCTTTTAGACATTCTAGCTCATTAAATGCTATCACAGGATCCTGATATTAAAAAAAAAAAAAGTTTTCATCTCATGTTATTTACAATCTCTGGCTTGACCCCAAAAGAATAGGACCTCTGAACATCTGCACCCTATATAGTTTGCTTGACTTGAATATGGATTGAACCTAATCACTTGCTTGGAGTGAACATCATATCATAAAAATCAAGGAATGGAACTTCTAGTATTGTCTTAGAGAACAACTGTGGCTTTTGTTGTGGGTGCTGGAGTTCACTCTCTCAGAGCACCCTCTCTGCAGTAGGAAAGCACAGGGCATGAGCCATCTTTCTGAAGAGACCATAGGGATAAGCTTGGAAATGGATCTTCTGAAGCCTGTCAACAGCTATTGGAGATAGACTGGAGGTGGATATATCTCCAGTTGAACTTTGAGATGACTGTAACCCTGCCAGAGAGTTAATTACAGTCTTCTGAGACCTTGAACAAAAAAGTGCCCAGCCAAAGTATCTCTGAACTCCAGACCCATCCAGACTGAGCTATGACAAATGCTGTTTCCAACCATTAAAGTTTGGTATGATTTGTTACATAGCTATAAGTCACTTATATATTCCTACTTACATAGAGACAAAGTTATTCAAAGTTATTCAAAGTCAGAAAACTGTAAGAAGAGGTTACTTTTACAACTAACTCCCAGGCATGGACTCTGCTGCTCTTCCCAGGTGATCAGTGTTTTTTTTGTTCATTTATTGGTATTGAGATTTTCCCATAATATGCTCTGTCAACCCAAGTCCTTTACTATCTAACACAATTTTCTCTAACTTATTTGAATGAAGAAATACAGTATGATGGAGGTGGGGAGATACTTAAGTCGAAGAGAAATGCAATGTTCTGACACCCAGGATGAATATACCCTGGTGCACAGAGAAGGAGGAATTGACTTAGACGACAGAACCAGGGAGAATTCTAAAAGGATTCATGGATGAGCAGTATGCCAATGTCAGATACCACACTGGTCAAGGTCAAGGTTCAGGGCCTGAGCTCAGTGAATGCTTATCACCTAAGAGTGAATCACTACTTATGGAAGGACAGGAGACAGTGAGATAACAAATAGAGAAGGAGGATTGCACTCCATCCTTCCAAACTAAAGAAACAGCAGATGGATGAGCCTAAATATTGAAAAGCAAGATGTGTGCACAGATCTGCTCCATGCTGCTGTATGTTGGACTCCATACTATATTGCTGTAAAAGGGAGTGCTTTCCAAAACTCAGCATTTGAACAGCATTTTTAAGACTAGTAAAATGGCTGGTAACAAAGAAAGAGGCAATCCCGTGGTCTGTTGTAAAATACATGGGTGTTTTATCAGCGAGTCTGATATGGCAACATGTATCTAAGGATGTATGGCCATTTTAGCCTAAATAATATAAATGTTACTGTTAACTCAAAAGAAAGAAATACACTTTAGGAACCAAAAAAAAAAAATTGCAAACTTAAAGTTACACATAGTTTATATATATATATATATATATATAATTTTCTCAGTTTAAAGAGAATTAACAGTATGATGTGCCAAAAGTCATTGCATATGAATGGTATACTTTAAATAGGAACATTCTATGTTCTCTGAATTTACACTTTAATAAAGCAGCTTTTCGAAAAGAAAAACCAAATAAAAGTTTTGTCATAACCAGATGTCACAGGGACTCACATTTACTTAATAGATTAAAAATACATTCTTGAAAGTATTTTCTAAAGCTCAGTAATTTTCACTTGAAGTAGAATGTGGGGGTTGTAAAAAGTCCACAAATTAGTGTTGTGAAAATGGAAACTACACACTTTAGACAAATTCTCTATTGGTCTTCATATTACCGTGTGATTTTAGGATTTATTTAGCTTCATAATCATCCCTCATCAATAAGGGGAAAATAATGTCTTCTGTGAATGACACCATGGAGGGCCCATGCACATCAGAAGAGAACTCAGCAAGGCACTTTGTAACTGGACTATACTATGCTAAACAATACTAGAAAAAAGTTATTGTTCCCACTTTTCCCATGAGATGATTTAGAACCAAGGAAATTAAGGTCTTTGCCAAAGGCTGCATACAAACCTGAATTCAGTGTCTTCTCAAATAAGAAAATAATAAAGAGATAAATAAAAGTCTGCCTCTTCATACAAGAGTAAATTTGTCACTATGGGTCGTATCACATCCCTGGGAACTGAATTCTGAATGTTTGGTTAGAATATCAAACATTTCTTGGGTTGGTCAAACACGGCAGTGACCTAGGTGTCTGCAGTTGGTACCTGTGAGGATTTCAGCAGCGTATTCTGTCTCTTTCTGAATCAAAAGTCTCAGGGTTCCACCCTCCAGGCTCAACAGCAGGGTCCCGGAGCCCTTAGACAGCTCTGTAGACAGAAGCAGACCATCCTTGTTCCATGTTCGAAACTGGAAACTCACTGAGAGTCCATCAATTTGTGGGGTTCCGGGCAGCAGCAAATAACTGCTGCTGGAGTTGACAAATGTGATGGGAACAATTTGTGGTTCGGAGCAGGAAAAAGTGACATTGCCCTGGAAAACAATAAAAATCAAACATATAAAAGCCATTTTTTTATTCTGCAACCTGACATCTGATATAAACAACTAGCTGGAGCTGACCTTAATTTCTGGATCATTCCAAATTCAGCTGTAAGATCTTAAAGGGAAAAGTATGTCAGCTTTGTTAAACTACACCTGCAAGATTGTTCCCTATGCCTGTTTTAGAGATCACATTGTTACCTTAATAGGGGGACATCAAAGATCAACCATCTCCCTACACACACACACACATACACACACACACACACAGTCAAGGGAATGAAGGGAATGGGGAACAACAACACTTTCTAAGGAACCAAACATTTAAAAAACAAACAAACAAACAAACAAATAAAACGATGCACCAAGAAAACTATGTGCCAAGTACTAGGATAGCTTGAAAAGATACACGTGAAAAAATTCTGTTACAATGTGGAAAGTGCTATGAAAGATAACACCAGCTCCCATGGGGCCATGGGAGTTTGGTAGAGGACATAACTAAACAGACAAGGGTTTTCACAACTTGCTTTCCTGAAAGGAAGTAGGGAGGTGAGTTACAGGGATTATACAAGGGTGTGGATATCCAGAGAGGAGAGAGTGTAGCCTGGCTAAGGTTTTCAGCAAAGGCAGTGTGTGCAAAGGATTGACAAAGGAGTCCCTGGGGAATTACAGACAAGCTGTCATTTCTAACATTAAGCAGGGCAGAGAGGCCCCAGCCATGTTGGAAGTGAGGCTAGAAAGATGTCAGAGGCAGAGTTTTAAAGCATTTTTGATTGTTTGCTAAATGATCCTTCTTCAAAGTTGTAAGCAATAAAGAGATGTAAACTGGGATTTGAACTGATTAAGACTATTTTCAAACACTTAGGGTATGGGGATGGGTGAGCAAACTAGAGATGTAGAATATCAAGTACTCATTGAGTAGAACCAAAAAGAGGAAGATTACTTTATGCACAAGGGAAAACTAGTACAGATTTAGTTGAGAATGAATGGAATACATTTTTAAATTAGGAAGTTACAGGAGAATATATCTATATATATACGCCAACACACACATACACACAGTGATGCCCACCTGAGCTGTGTGTTGGGATCAGTTTTACTAGATAAATAAGGAAACAGCCTAGAATGCCTTGAATTTGTGAATAGGTTTTATGTTATGAATGCCATTTGGTTTTCTTTTGCCAGACCCATAGTCAACCTATCATCCATGTCTACACTTTCTCTTTTTAGATTCCAAATTTCCTCAACAATATGTGAGCATATGCAGAGGTAAATAACATAATATTCACATCTAAACAGTCATAGGCATCTAATGTTCCCTGTGAATCTTTTCATTCAAGAAAAATGAATGGTTGCCTTTGTGACATACTGTAGCTCAGTCTTGGAGTCACTGTCATACCCAGTGCCAGGTATACAAAAGGGTTAGAGATTTCTGAAAGAGAAACATCCTGACTTGACTGACTTCCTGAAATCAATTTTGAATCGAGATGACGAGGGAGGTGGATTAGACATCTAGTACAGTTCTCAGTACTAAAGCAGGTTAACCACTCAGGTCCAATAACCTCGTAGTCTGGAAAAACACCTCTATGTGTCAACTGTTTCTTGTGCTCATCTCATATATCTGATCAATGGTAATCTCTAAGCTTTTACCAGTAGAAAATCTCTACCAAATCACTCATCAAGCATACTGTGATGAGCATATTCTTGCACTAAATGTATACACATGATTCCTACTCTTAAAGCTCAAGTCCATAACACAGGGTGAGATCCCTAAAATCCATCAAGAAATTACCCCATTTAATTGGCCTCACAGGACCTGGCAGTTGACTAAATAGGTTGAGTGCTTACATACATCTCTGAGGTATTTTGCACAACACTGCATTCATTTAAAGAATGACAATTCGATTTTAGAGGAGGTAAGCAATTTAACAAAAGTCATATGCCCCATTAGCAGTGACAACAGGAGATGTTCTTATGTCTGTCTTACTTGAAAAACTTTCTTTTAGCTACTTTCTCTGAAATCTCCTCTGCACAGGACACCACCATTTAAGGAAAAATGTACCAAGTTGTTCAGGAAATTCATTACTGCTTCACGTTGCATTTTTTTTTTTTTAAGATTTATTTATTTGTGCATACAGAACTGGGGTACAGGCCAGAGGCTCAGGGGCGGTGAGAGGCTTCACCAGAGATAGAGCGGGGAACAGAACAGGCAGATCGATCGACAAAGTACACTGCTGAGGTGAGCAGCGGGCGGGTCAGGAGAGGTCTGCCGCACCATGTGGTCACCTCCGGGGCAGGCGGAAATCGAACTCATGCGGAAGCAGCTTTAGATTCTCAGTGCTGTGCTTTAACCCGCTGTACCACCAGGGAGGGCCTCACGTTGCATTTTAAAAATATTTATTTATTTGTTTGTTTGTTTATTTATTTAGTTATGCACATAAGACCTGGGGTACAGGCCAGAGGTATGGCGGAGTGGGGGGAGGCAGTAAGAGGATTCAGAAGAGACAGAATAGGGAGCAGAACAGGTGGATCAACTGAAATGCACTGCTGATGGTGAGACAGGAGAGGTCTGCTGTGCCATTTGGGTCAGTTTCCTGACCCAGGATAGAATTCATGTTGCAGTGTTTGTGGAGAGCTTCATATTGCTGTGTTGTAACCCAATGTTCCACCAGGGAGGGCCAACTTTACTTTTTTTTTTTTTTTTTTTTTAAATTTCTGGTAGATTTCCTTCAAAAATGGAAACATCTCCTCTTCTGGCAGATTGACAGAAATGAGATTGTTATTACAGAAAAAAATAATAATAATAACAGATGTTCCTAGAGTGAAGTTTCATCCCTTTCCTTCCTGCCCCGCCCCAGGTCAGTATCACTGCCTCTGCTAACAAATTTGCCAGAGCCAAGTTGTACCCCAAATTTTATGTGTGTAGAAAGTAAAGTGGTTGAGAAGGAGTGACAAAAAGTGTAGGTGGTTATGTAATGCCCCCTTCCTTTTATTGATATAAACTCCAATGTTGAGTTAAGCCCAAGCCATTTTCTGGGTTTTCTGCACTGACAGCCACAGAAGGTGGACCTTAGACAGTGAGGTGTATAGGACCACTGATCCTATGATCAGTTCATTCACACCTGACCAGACGGGTTCTACTGCTCAGGTTCACTTTTTCAGTTCCACTAATTAGCTAACGGGTTCCTATTACTTGAGTTCAAGGGAACTCACAATCCCATAGGGACACTCAAATGTTTCTGGCTCTTTTCTGCTGACAAGAATTCCAGCAAATGCCTCAGGGATTTTCACAGTTAGGTCAAGGACACGTGTGTGGCTGATTTGCTCTATAGGAGTAGGGAAACTGACATGTGTTGGGATAAGCAATCTCTCTCCAGGTGTCTTCTTGGTTACCTCTGGGCCACCTTCTACTCCTCTACCCCCTTCCTCACATTGCCTTCATACTGTCTTCTGATTCCTCACCTTCACACAACTGTCTGAATTGTCCAGAAATTCTGTTTTTAGAGCAAGTAGGAGAGAAGAGATGGGATTAGATGGGGATACACTCTGCACCAAATCCAACAAATGGTATCTGCAAATGTGTTTCCGGCTCAGCTTTCCTTCCCAGCTGTCCATTGCCCCTTCCAGTGAATTCTGTCTCACTGTGCTTACTGCTGATAATGTTGGAGGGCATTGCCTGCTCCCACCAAGTGGGGGGAAATGAAAAAAAAAAAAAGCTAAATGAACTAATGCTACTTTTGAAACATAGACTATTTGATATTTTTCAAAAAATACCACTTGCAACTTCAGAATCCTTTTCAAAACAGCACTTGTGGGAGTCCGTACCAGTCATTTAGAAACTGCATGCCAGAAGAAAATTTACTATAGAATAGCAGCATAGTGTCAAAACAAAATGGTAAAAACCAAGACTATATTGTTCCCTGTATTCCTCTTTATTCTATTAATTCAGCTTTCATCTTGTCCTTATTCCAAGAAGGGAGTTCCACTCCTCAGGCTCTCTCTATTCCATTAAACATTTAATTCATTCAAGCTTTTTCAAGCATTGTAAAACAATGTGTTAAGCACAGGGACTCATAAGTTATACACATAAATGCAATACTGAACCTTTGCATTCCATAGTCATTACATCTTCATTAAAACGTACATTTTAACTGTAATCAACCCATGATACAGAACTGTAATGTCAGACCTCAAAGGTAAAAAGCAGGCTCTGACCTCAGTGGTGAGCTGGAAAGCAGGTCACTTCTTGTCCTGGGTCTTCATTTTTTCCTCCTTCCCAAGCCACATATCTCAAAAGATCTATAGAATCTGTCACTGTAATAAAAAGTCATTCTACATGAAGCTGCTATACCCTTGGCATCTGAAATGCTTCTGACAATGCCACCTTATTCTGGTTGAATGTGACCTCCAACAGCTAATGGAAACTGCCAATCAAAATCAAAACCATGGTGAGGTATCCCAAGTCAGCAATTGCCACTTCTCAATAAGGACCTTCTTTGGTGCCCAAGATGGTAATTCTTTCTTCTTCATGCATGCTGTTCCTTCTCTAAAAGACAAGGGACCCTAAGTGCTGAGTGGAAAATAGAGATACTATCTGCCCTTTGGAAGCCCCCAAACAATAACTAGTTTTGTTTTCTGTGATATACCATGGTCTTTTTTTTGCAATGCTCACAACAGGTTGTAACAGGTATAGGTTTCATGGACTCCTCCCCCAGTCCAGATGCTGGAACTCCAAATCCCATCACTACCAAGGAGAAGCACACGGGGACGTGAGGGCGGAGCTGAGCAGCCAGGTTGGGATAAAACCGGACATGTGAGCTCTCAGTTGGGACCTGGTGTTTTGCAGCTGATCGTTTTTGGCTCTCAATTGGTTTTCAGTGTGCCGGTGGAGTCCAAGTCAGCACAACTGGTAAGGCATCCTAGTTAACCTGTGTTTCTTTCCCTCTTTCCCTGGGTTATTCCTTTACCTTTCTCCTTATAAATAAGTCCATTAT